GTCCACGTGCCCGGTGGCCCTGAACGCTGGGGGGGCGGATGCGGCACTCTCTGGGCGCTGTTGAGGGCTGCCTGGTCTCAGCCCTGCCCCCTCCGGGGGCCAGGCAGGGGCCTGGCGAGGCTGCCGGCTCCCCTGCTGGAGGCCCTGGCGAACGTCCACCCCGCACGCCGCTGTTCCAAGCCAGCGCAGGTGGAAAAGGCGTGAACCCTGCTAGGGCGAACACCCGCCGAACACGGGCCTTCTCGGCCTGACTCTGCCCTGCACGTGGCGGGTTCGTCTGCATGGGGCTCGTTAGCAGGGCGACTGTCCAAGCAGCTCCGTGGCTCTCTACGGTCTGTCTTCACTGTGCAGGCGCTTCCCTGTCCCCCCCAACCCCTCGGGCCTGGGTTTGGTGGCGTGTGAAGCCCTGGCTAATGGACCCATCGGGAGGGAGGGGGGAGGAGACTCGGTAGCACCCAGGGTCTGATTTAAGCCAGGCTGGAATTGCCCATTTTGCTGGGAGGTCCCAGGAGAGGCACCTGAGAGCAGACAGTCCTCCAGTGCCTTCCCACAATCCCCCTGAAAGACACAGCTGTTCTCCAGCAATTGACACGCGGGAGCGGGCAGAACCCTAGAGCGCTGCCGCACCAGGAGCCACGGGCTGTGCCCCACGCAGTCCCCCAGGCAGCGTGGGCGGGGGTGTTCGCCCCGGGCAAGGCGAACCAGCCCAGCTGGGCTCCTTGCAACGACACTCACCCTCGTGGCCTTCCCCAGGTGCACTGGCTCCCGGGCAGCTCTGCTGGTGGCAGGGAGTGGCTGGCCGGGAAGTCCAGCCGTGACCACCCCGGCCAGCAGCAGGGCTCAGGGCATGGCCAGCCAAAGGGGGACCCTCGCACGTACGTTGCAGTAGATGCGTTTCTGAACTCCGAATCTCAGCACCAGGACGTCGAAGGCCTCGCTCAGGATGCCCATCACCATTGCCTCGGACTCCAGCGGGCCACACTCCTGTCAACACAAAGCACCGTCACGAGCGAGACACCCCCGAGACCGGCCACATCTCAGCTGTCCCCTCCCGGGCGGTGCCCACAGACGCCGTAAATTGCTCTCCAATCGCTATGGAGCCCAGCAGACCCCCTCCCCAGGCCAGACGGGGTGCAGCCCCCTGGGGGACCCCGAGGAGCGCTGTAGCCAACCAGGTCCAAGCACCCGAGGGAGGGACACTGAGTCCCCCCTGCAGGGGAAGGCCCAGCTGCCCACGTGCTCTGAGCCGCCCCAGGGCGCTGCTAGGACGCGGCGGGGAGAAACCCGCAGATCTGAAGCCAGAAGCTGCCCTTGCTCCTCGTGGGGCCCAAGAGGGTGGCCAGCTGGCGGCAGCCCCAGGGCTGCAGAGCAAGCCACGCCCCATAAGGCAGCGTCGCCTGCTGGTCAGTGCCGCGGTGTTCTGGGGAGACCGTCCCCCAGAGGACCAAAGCGGAGCTCCAGGCCCCCTCCCAGCGCCCTGTGGTCTCACCCTGACAAAGACGGCGAAGAACAGGTCGGCGCTGAGCTCCTGCACCCTCTTGGAAGCCATTTTCCGATCATTGCAGTGTTCCGCTTGCTTCTGGATGGCCTCCTTTCTCCTCCCGAGCGGGCGTCCTGCGCCTAGCACACAGCACCGGGTTAGCACCTGGTGGGAAGGGGCTGACACCCACCCCGGGCACCAGGAGCCTGGCATGCCCTGGAGCTGTGCCCCCGTGTCCCCGAGCTCCCCGCTCAATCCCCACCATACAGGCTCACGGTAGCTACACTTGCCTGGCCCCGTGGCGCCTGCTGAGGAGCCAGGAGGGGAACACGAGAGAGCGGGGTCCAGCGCCGAGGCTGGAGAACCACAGGGCTGCAGGGAGCCAATGGGCCAGGGACACTGAGCCAGCGACGTGGCCGTGCCCATGCAGCGTAGGCCCAAATCCACAGCAGAACCCAGGAGTCCTGTCCCCTTCCCTCCCCAGCCGCCTCTCGGCCTGTGACTGCTAGCCCTACCGAGCGAGGCGGAGAGGAGCCGGTGCACCAGGATGTCGGCAAAGCGGCGGATGGGCGAGGTGAAGTGGGTGTAGAGCGGCACGTTCAGGGCGTAGTGGTGGAAGAGGCTCTCGTCTGCCAGGGTGCCGGCGCAGAAGTAAAGAGCCATCTGGAAAGGACAAGCCCACGGCCCGTGAGATGCAAGGGGAGGCAGGGGCACCGCTGGAAACAGCCCGGGGACCGAACAGGCTCCACTCGGGCAAGGAAAGCCCTGGACCCTGGTGCCGGGGAGGACGAGGACCCAGACACCAGCACAGGCAGCCCCGGACACGGCTTAGCCGGGGGATCGTCAAAGGCCTGGCTCTGCTGAGTCCTCCGGTCCCTGCTGGGTTAACGCCCCCCGGGCCCTTTCTACCACGGCACATTTTCTTCCTTGCCCCCCCGCCCCGCCCCGAGGTGGGACAGCCGCCCACGGCAGGGAAACGGCCAGTCTGGGCCCTGGGGAAGGGACGTGTCGGGACCAGAGCTTTCTGCCCGGAGGCGTTCAGTGGGCTCCCCCGGGCACAGCGCCTGCCCACTGGGAGAGGGGCGGGCCTGGGCTTTGAAACGCAGCCGGCTTTTTCCGCATGGCCCCCGGGTTGGCCGCAGCTCAGGCGCACACAGCTGCGGGGCTCAGGGCCGGGTCCCCCTTTCTGGGGCAGTCCCGGTGTGGCCGTGCCTGCAGCTCGCCCAGGCTGGTCCCCAAGTGCCGGCACGGCGACCCAGCTCGCCCTCTCGTGGGCAAAGGAGGGAAGGACACGCTTCGGAGGAACCCCTGGGCTAGCGTGCGGCACGGAAACCCTCATCCACCTGCGGCGGCAGCGGGGCGTTCTGCTACGGAGTCAGGCCAGCGGCTCTGCCCCTCTGATGGGCTACAGGGCTCCCATCTGCCCTTCCTTCTCTGGGCCCTCTGCCCCAGCCAG